CGCCCTTCTGGCTGCACTGCACGCCAGCACTCTTCAGTAAGGGACTGCCTCCTCTTGAACTCCTCACACCTGCCTATCTCCACCCCATCTCTGCTCTTTTGGCCACCCAAAAGGCGGGGGCAATCGGCTGGGACTGCTGAAGGCCCCGGGCCTCTACTTCAGCCCCAGGGCCACTGGCATTGCCACCACAGAATGATGTTGTGAAGGTGTGGGGAGTTCAAGAGGAGGCAGTCCCTTACTTTACCAAGAATCAGAGCTGGGAGGGATCAAGCTAGGAATGATATGGATTGGGGTGGGTCCTTCCCTAACAATCGGTGGGATTTGGTTAACAATGGCAATGGGGACTGCTGAGATTTCTGTTGCTAAGTGATGAGGCCATGTGATGTCATGCTTTACAACCACATCACTTAGAGACGGAAATTGTGGTCCCAATTACTGTTATAACCTGAGGACTTCCTGTATAGCTGCCCATCTTAAAACAACCCTGGGCAGATTACAACCAATAAAACAATATAAAGCCAACAGTAATGAACTAAAAACAGAAAAATCTGGAAATCCGTGCCCCTTTTAGCTGTTAGGGCCTCCTGGGAAGTGACCTGTGGTTGGATCCAAACTGTGGTGAATGTTTCTCCACAGGAGGGGAAGATTCTACCTGTTTTGAAAGAGGTGGTGGTCTATTCCCTCCCCAAGAAGCCATCCTTGGATTCAACAGGACCGGACAATTTTTGTCCAGTCTCCAACTTTTCTTTCTCAGAAAGGTTGTTGAGAGGGTGGTTGCCTCCAGCTTCAGAGAGCCCTGGAAGAAGCAAATTATCAGGACTGTTTCTAGCCTGGTTTCAGGATGGGTTATAGCATTGGTTATACTCGTGGATGACCAGTAGAGAGCTCAGGATGGGGGTGATACATCTGTCCTTGCCATCCTGGATCTCTTGGCACCATTTGATACCAGTGATTGTGGCAACCTTTGGGACCAGCTTATGGAGTTGGGACTGAGAAGCACTGTTTTATGGTGGTTCTCCTCCTTCCTCTGAAGCTGGTTCCAGTCAGTGTGGGTGGTAGAAAAAGGTCTAAACCTAGGTCTCTGCTAAATGGGATGCATAAGGGTTTAACTCTCTCTCCACTCCTATTTAACATCTACACAAAGCCATTGGGTAAGGTCATCTGTTGGCACTAAGTGAGGTATTATCAGTATTCTGTGTGAGATGCCTTGGCTTTTGCATTTTGTATTTATTATAGCTCCTTTTTCATTGCATGTTTGTGTTTTTTGTTGGTCTATAATGCTAGCTGCCCAGAGCTATTTGCTTAAGATGGATGATCCACAGAAATTTTAGTAATAAATAAATGAATCTTAATTGGGAAGGCTAAAAAAAGGAATTGTGTCTGAATATCTAAAATACCAAGCTCTTTTTGTTCCAGCTATACTATAAATAGCAAAAACTCAAGTTTACCTGATAAAATTTTGCCATCCTGTGCAGCAGGTCCATCCTTTAGTACATTTTTCACCTGCAGAAATTCATCTGGTCTGTCTCCACCAATTATTGTGAATCCAAATCCCATAGTGCTTTTCTTCAATGATGTCTGTATTAGTGCCCCTATCAACTGGGATGGATCTCGAGTAAAGAAAGGTTTTGCGTGTTCTGCACACAAAGAAAATGCTTTTGGGTATGTCTACTGAATAATGGGGGTGGGGAGATTAAGACAGTTAATATTGTAGTGATAAACCATTTAGAAATGTCAAATAAAAAACAGAGATACAATGAAGATACAATGAAGATTATAATGGTGAAAGAGGAACTTAAGAGTACATTTTAAAAAAGATTTAGAATGAGAGTAATGCAAGATAACCTTTTATAATAATATTTAGGAAGAACATAATCAATTAACTGATTGGTTATATTATTAAACAAATACATGAAACAAAACTAGTTTTGGCTTTCCTTATCTGGTCCAAAGTTAATTCAAAGAATGAGAAAGAAAGAATCATTCTTTGAATTATCCCCACAGTCATCTATATTTATTGTCCACAGAACAGCATTATAAAACATGGATAGGTTTATAACTCTTTATAAAGGCTTAACGTTGGGCCATACTAAAGTCTGTCTTCCTTGCTTCCTTGCTTCCTTGCTTCCATCCATCCATCCATCCATCCATCCATCCATCCATCCATCCATCCATCCTTAAAAAGCATTGATGTTCTTGCTTCTTTCACACAGAGAGGAAGAACTTAAAAGACACTTACTGGGAAGTTTTGCTTATCTGATTAACTGTGAAAAGTGTCTAAGAATCTTTTTCTTTTTTATACTCTGCCATTGTTAAAATGATTGCAGCAGGCAACAAATCCTTGGCTTTATACTATTTAGGATGAAAAATTGCTATTAAGTTGGTATAGAAATCATCATTTTAAAATTATAAAAATATAAACATCAAGAATTATTGGAGATTAAAGTTTTGTATGATAAATTACACTCATACAAATATTGGTAAGTTGTATACAGAAAGCTAGCAAAAAAGACATGATGATTATGATGACTGTATATATTCTTAATAAATACACTGCAGGTTTTAACAGTTAGCCACTAAAAACTGTACCTGGATTTGATAAACCTCCATCAGTCTGTCCTAGTTGTTTTTTCCGTTTGGCTTCCAAAACTGGATTTTCAAACTGGGTTTTCTGGTTGATGTGACTGCAAAGTACAAAAGATGGTAATGCAAATGTAATTACAAAATATTTACAGAAAAAGTTCCCCTTTCTCTCTCCATTGCAGGATACTGCTGTCCATTCTTTTAACTTTCCAAGAGGCAGAAGTTCTTACTAGAAATCCAGCAGAATCTCATTTCGGTACTCTAGAAGCTTTAATACTTTCATAATTAATCTAAAAAATTCAAGTTGTTTCCCAAAAGCTAGCAGCTTAGTTCCATTTGAATACAAAGAATAAAGTTATTTCTAGTGATCAACTAACTGATCTTTGAATTCAAACACAGTGAATTTAGGACTAAACCTAAATTCACACCTTAATTTAGGAGGAGGGAGAAATCACACAAGTGCTATTATTTAAACCTACTGTTTAGTATGTAGGTTTAAATAACAAAAGGTCATGAGTATAATTAACATCTCTGATAATCAGTTGTAAAGATTAGATCTTAAATTATTCCTTTCTAATATGGGGGTAAGAAAACTTTTAGCTTAAACTTAGTTTAAAACAAGAAAATATTTATTTCTTCGTCTATCAGACTTTTGCAGGGGACTACAAATATTAGCCAAGAGCATAGGTTGATAAGCCCAATAAAAGAACAAAAATTATTATCAGTCATCAATTTCATTATTGCTACATTACTTAGGTATCCTGTTATATCTACTTTGATTATTGTTTCACAATTTTTAGGAAGAAAAAAATAATTAAATACTTGGTCAAGTAAATAATTTGCTCTAAATTGAAACATTCTATATATTCAGAGGAACAAAAAACTATCAGGACCCAAGATGTTATTTAAAAAGTATGCAGACTTTGCTAAAATTGTAAAATTTCTAATGCATATTCATGAGATATTTCCAAATTCCCTTAACTAGTAAAATTATTAAGAATTATTAAGGACCATCAAATGGACTTACTGTGAAGAAAACATGTCACTGAAAAATAGTGGGTACTTTTTCATTTTATTAAAATGTTATATAACTTTCCAGTATTGTTCTCATATTTGTCTCTTTTTTCCTCAATTTAATTTAATGCTGCCTTTATTCTTTCATTCATTCTACAAATTCAAGCATTGCCCATATTTAGACACCTCAGTAATATACCTATTCCAAGACAGAATTAGATGGTGGGCAGGTTTAGAGAATTCTTCATAAAAAATGTGAAATAGGTAGAATTTTGGAGGGCTTATATTACAGTAGCTTGGTGGCATCAAACAACGTTTTGAGATCACAAAATATAATAAACATTGGTTAGTCCAATTACTTCATTTATGCATTTCATCCTTGGATAATCTGGAAAACTCAATGGGTCAGTCCTGCTTAGTATCGGAAACATTAAAAAAAAAATCCCAGAAAAAGGCAATGGCAAATAATCTAATACGCCAAGAAAACTGCATGGATGTATCATGTAGTCACCAGGAATCAAGCTTAGTTCTATTCCAACAAAACTGTGTCCCCAGCTGAATGGGGTTGTTGAACAGAACAACAGAATCTTGTCTGTTTTTATTTTTTAATGTTTTTATTATGATGTGAATTCTTTTTGTTTGTATTTGTTGTTGTACACCAGAATATTTAAGTACTGTTATATAAATAAACTCACTAAAAGGTGATTTCATTTCATATTTTAACTTTCCATTAGCCTTTATTTTCTTATGCTTTCTTTTAAAGTATTGGGTGTAGTCTTTGTACTAGGATAAATGGGGATGGATAACAGCCAAATTTAATAAGTGCTGTTACCAAAAAGTTTTTTTTTAATTTCCTTTTTTAAATTCATGGAGTCCATTGAGAGCAGAAAGCTAATAAATTGTTATTTATTCTCCTAAAGAATATGTAGACCTACTTATGAAATTTCCTGAAAAGTAAGAAAATATTGCCCAACTAGTCATGCTTTATAATAAAACTACTGCTATACTATGTACTGATTAAATATCATTCTATGGTTTTTGATTGTTCAATTAATAAACCTGGGCTTTCAACAACTGGGCAAAAAAACTTACTCAACGTAGTATGTTCCATACTGAGGGTCTTCTATTTTCTCCCAGCCATAAGGAAGCTCTGTAATTAGAAGAAAATAAATGATGAGCTTATTACTTACTGATTTTTTTTTTATCCTACTATATCCTGGGGATGCAGAACAATGTTTTTTACAAACTTACAAGTATACAAATCTGTTCCAAAATTATTAAATTTGGGTGACATGGAAACCAACTAAGTCAAAAACAAACATGACCAGGGCATGAGTGACTGACCAGAGAGCCTCCTGATCCAGGAAGGGGCGTAACTGGCACACCATGTGAAGGTGGGCAAAGGCCCTCCTGGCCATGACTGCCACCTGCTCCTCGAGCAGGAGTCATGAGTCCAGGAGGACCCCCAGATTGCACACTGGGTGTGTTTGAGGCAGTGAAACCCCGTCCATAACCAAGATGGTAAGTTCTCGAATACAGAGGGACTTCCAATCTGCGGCCACTCCATTTTACCAGGGTTCAGATGAAGCCTGTTCTTCCCCATCCACACCTTCACAGTCTCCAGGCACTGTGAAAGGGTGGTTACGGCATCACTCAAGTCACTCAGGATGGAGATGCATAACTGGATATCATCTGTATACTGACGATACCTCATCCCAGAGTGTCAGATGATCTCATCCAGTGGTTTCATATAGATGTTAGAAAGGAGTGGAGAGAGTACCGAACCCTGCGGCACCCCACAATGGAGGGGCTGTGGGCTGGATCTCTCGCCCCCAATCAACACTGACTGGGATCGACCTTGGAGGAAGGAAGAGAAACAGTGCAAAACTGCACTGCCCACTCCCATCTCCGTAAGTCAACCCAAAAGGATACCATGGTCGATGGTATCGAAAGCCACTGAGAGGTCAAGAAGAGCAAGGATGGATGCACTACCCCCATCCTGCTCCTGCCAGAGATCATCCAGGACTGCAACCAATGCCATTTCTGTCCCAAATCCAGGCCTGAAAACTGACTGGAAGGGGTCCAGATAATTTGTTTCCTCCAGAATCCTCCGGAACTGCCACACCACCACCTTCTCAACCACCTTTCCTAAAAAGGACAGGTGGGAGACTGGATGAAAATTGTCCAATATGGTGGGATCCAGTGATGGCTTCTTGAGGAGGAGATGTACCAGCACCTCTTTAAAGGCAGCTGGATACCCTCCCCCAAGGATGAGTTCACCATTGCCTGGACCCACCCACATGTCACCTCCTGAGTAGCCTTAACCAGCCAGGAGGGACAAGGATCTAGTTAGCAACTGGTGGTACTGACTGTTCAGAGGACCCTGTCCACTTCCTCAGGTTCAACAGAATCAAACTGTTCCCAGATAACAGGGTAAGTCCATACCCTGGGCTTCTCTATAGACCATGCTGCACGCTTGGTATCCAACTGGGACCGGATGTGATTTTATCCTCCAGATGCCCAGAAAACTCCTTTGTGTGGCCCTGTAAATGGGCCATTGGGGCCCCTTTTCCCAAAAGGGATTGGGTGATCTTAAACAGGGCTGCTGGGCAGCATTCTGCGGATGCAGTAAGTGTGTAGAACTGTTGGTGTTTTGCTGCTCTTACCACCACAAGTTAGGCCTTGATCGCAGCTCTAGCTTGTGCTCAGTCGTGTTTGGTCCTTGTTTTCCTCCAGCAGCGCTCTAGGTGTCTCTTAATCCTTTTCAAGACTCTCAACTCCTCTGTGAACCACGGGGAATGTCAGTCTCAATGGATTAAGAGAGGTCGCACAGGTGCAATCTTGTCCAAGATTTCAGTTGCACACCCTAGGAATGGCAGGTTGAAGTCTCCCAGGACCATAAGTCCTGGGAACTCCACTGCCAGCCCCACAACGGCCTCCAGCAGCTCAGGCAGGAAGGTTGCTACACAGCAGGGAGGCTAGTACAGCAACAACAATCTCAACTGTTCTTGCAAGTCCAAGTTCAAGAACAGGGTCTCACAACCATACACTTGTGGAGCAGTGCCCCTGAAGGCAACAAAGATTCCCAAATGACAACCGCTACCCCTCCTCCCCTGCTCTGGGATCTTGGCTGGTGCCAGACTGTGAACCTGGCTCGGCATATTTCCGAAAGGGGCACCCTCCCCTTCAGGGCCCAACCAGGTCTCGGTGATACACTCCAGGTCGGCCGCTCCTCAGTGATCAAATCACGTATAAGGGGGGCCTTGTTGTTAACTGACTTGGCGTTGAGAAGCAGCAGCCAAAAAACAGGGCCTCCATGGGTCCGCTGTCCAAAGCCTGAATCTGAGTTCAGAGGGCCGGAACACGCCACTGGTAATAAACACCAGAGGCCTCTTCCCCAAGAGCGGCCCACCCTCTGACTCCCACCATAACATCCCCTCCCCATCACTACCTGAATGGTATGACCCACCCTAAACACCCCAGGGGCTCCAGTTCCCCCAAATCCCAGACCCCTGGCTTCCCAAGTTAGAGGACCCTCCATCCAATCATACAACAGACTCCCAATCAATCAATTGATCAATCAATCAATCAATCAATCAATCAAGGGGGGGTGTGATGGGCTCCCAGGCACTTCAGCTCTCACTCTCAGCGCTGTAGGGGCCCTATCCCTCCCCCCTTCATCCACTGTGCCCCCTCCACCAGCTTCTCTCACTAGTTGGAAGGGGGCACCCAATTCACCCTTCTCCACTCTCCCCAACTCTCACTCAGGGGGCGAGTATCCCTGCCACACTCACACCTCACCCACACACTCACAGAGACACCCTCAGACTTCCCTCCCTGTCTCACCTTAGGGAGGGAGGCCAACTATCATCCATTGGAGGGACCCCAATGCTCTGACCAAGAACAGCCCACCGGTTCTCAAGTCCTTCAAGCCCCTTCAGGCCACAGCGGCTGTTCAGAGGCCAGTTGACTGGCCAATATCCCAGTCTCAGGCCTGCGCTGCCAAACCCCCTCCAAGTCAGCGCTCAGGCCACCACCAGTCCTCTGGTGTCAATCCGGCCAATCTTCAGGCCCTCTGGGCAGTGGGATCGGGCACCCCCGATTACCACAGGCTCGCTCCAAGTTCTCTCCCTGCGGCCCCTTCTCGGCCCCTTGTCATTTGCCACTTGCTGCGCAGCACCATACTGCACCGCTTGCTACTGGCGTTAGAAATTGCCTTCCTGTGGCCCAGATCTCTCCTTGGGCTCTTGCCACCCTCACCACTCACTGCTTGCCCCATCGCTTTGTGCTGCTCAATGCGAACACATTGAGCTCCACCGGACCCAGGTTGCAAGACTGCCCCAAAAACAGTCTGGCTCTCATGCTCACCGCCCACTGTGCTGTGCCGTCTGACACAACTGTGGAGCTCCGCCCAGCCTCAACGGCCTCTGCCAAGCTCCGCCAGGCAAAAGATTCCAGGGCACCCCCCAGAGCTGCCAATCCAGTGTCGGGGAGCTGCCAGGTCAGTCAGGTAAGCCAGCAGGGTGGAAATGGGGTATACAAGACCCATTGCCACCGTTCAGAGCCTAGTGTGGTGGTCAGCATTCGTTCCTGGTTGCCATCTTGGAATGAAGCTGCCATTATACGTTTACACTATTATAGTGTGATTTGCTGGGTTTTTCCAAACTATCAGTATTAAGGATGATGTTACTTTCATAAAGTTAAAGCTTCAGAATCATATTAAAAATAAAAAGATGTTATTTTATTTAAGTGACTTGACTTTGGTCTGGCAGCATGGGGGAGGAGCAGAATGACGAAAGCAGCTCTGTCATGATGTAAGCCTTGCTTCTTCTGTATGCGCATTGTGACACTGCATGCACATACAGAAATGGTGGAGTCTGCAGCATGGCATTGCTTTTGTCATTTTGATGAAAGCAGCAAGATCCTGTGGACACTCTCAATATTATTTATGCTTCAAAGAATGTTTATATTAGACCCACATACAAGAACTGTCAATTAAAATATTCATTAATCCATTTAAACTAAGATCTTCATTTACACTTGGTTCATTTGCACATTATTCAAAAAAAACAAAAACAAAACCCAAAACTCAACTGCATTTCAACCGGTCAGGTATAAAGTTTAAAAATGGTATGGAAATAAGGTTCCTCTCAAATCTAAGTTGTTTCTTATCTGCCTCAACATATATTGAGAAAAGAAAGTACTGCATAATTCATTTTGCTTGTGTATCTTTCAAAGCCAAAAATATTAAGTTTCACATAACCATTTATAGCAGCAAATGTTCACTGCACAGAATGCTTTCATGAGTAGAAGAGTCACTGGATTCAAGCAATTATATAATAGTATTTTTTAAAAAATCTTAATATTATAATTGAACAAAAATTCACCTCTACTGACTTGTAATCAAAATACAGAGATTTATCATCAAAGTTTAATCTGCAGCAAATAGAAAAGATGAATTTCAATGTACTATTGTACTTCTTCCCTTTTTAGTTTTTATTGTTCTTGTTGATATTTTACGGTCTTTAAGGTCCTTCTTTTTAGTACATATTATTTAAGCATTTTTAAATATATATGTTTTCTTGAATAGTTTGGAATGAAATGTGTGAGTTTTCTTTTCAACTGTTATAATCTGTGCTTTTTAAAAACTCTGTATTTTTTAAAGAAGATTTATGTATACAAGACCCACTCAACAGCATACATTTTCCATCAGATGAATTAGATAATTTTAAGAGGTTTACAGTCATACAGTTAAGGAAAGAATGGCTAAACCTTGACTTAGCTTTTAATAGATTTTTATTTTATCATTAGGTAAATTATGTTATTATTTCGAGACTGCAGAATTTGCCTCCAAGATAGATAGATAGATAGATAGATAGATAGATAGATAGATAGATAGATAGATAGATAGAATCTTCAGCACATGATTCCTACTGTGCAAGTCTTCATAATAAAAGTGAAAAGAAATCTAAAACAATTCTTGTAGTCTCTATAGACATTTTTATGACATAAATCACTCTCAGATATATATTACCTATACATTAGCTTTTACATCTAACTTTTACATTACAAAAAGCTACCTATATGTCAACACAGCTGTCGTCTTAGCATTTCATTGGATGAGTTCTCTTTGATATTGTCAAAGATATA